GGGGGGGGGGGGAAACAAAGTACTCTCCTTGTAATACACATACACACTCCAGGATTTCATGCTGCAGCTGCAGTTATCATCTCTTTGGCAACAAGGACCACCAAGCAATAGTTTTTGGATATTACTTTATTCTTATATTAGATAGCAACAGTAAGCTATACATATGCTCACCCATTCTCCAAATGGTTCAGTATATGAACATAAAAATTAATGTTACCATTTAATTTTACTTTTTCCTACAGCTTAAAATAATTTCATCAGTAAGCAAATCAGTAATAATTTTTAAGTGCCTATTTCAGGTTTACTATGCAGAGAGTTGAATTACTGTGCAGGTTCCCCTGCATAAGAGCTCAATTTCTGCGTAAGTAAATATCTGCTCTTTCAGGCAGCTTTGGATGCACAAGTGGGGAGGTGAAAGCTAGAAACAGAATGAACTAAGATGATGATTGGATCATAAAATGGGTAATCGTGGGGTAAGCTGGATAACTAATTACCCAGTGTCAGTACACAGAAGAAGGTCACCACTTATATGTTACACAAGACTACTTCATAACAAACTAGAATTTTACTTAGCTACTACCATCAAATAACCTGATGTTCTCAACTTTTCATACTCAGACTCTTATATTTAGTTAAGATAATTCCAATAAGAGCTTATTTAAAAGTGGCATTTAAGTAATTTAACCTCCTGGCTTCTGCAATCATAAATATTCCCAAACTTCCTTTTCACCCCCTAATTTGGGGCCACTTTTCAAACTGTCATCTCTTCCAACCCAATTCTTAGTGTCTAGTAACTTCTTCAGCACTTTTCACCCGACAGCTTCAACTTGGAGGAAAAATATCCTACTTCTATTACTCTTCAATATGGCTGCTGGTTGTAACCGAGCACGCAGCGCCCACAATGAAACGCCAAAAAACAACCAGGAGGGGAAATACTGTCTGTGTATACCCAGATGTTCCAGGAGTAACACCAGCAGATTCAAAATCTTCAAATTTGAATTTTCATATTTATTTCATCTTAGGTGGGAATTGGCACTTCTCTCCCAAACTGTTAGCAAACCACTCTAAGGCATTTCATGCAAAAAGACACGTTCCACATTTTTGGCTTTCCCACCTTTAGCAAGTCGTTCGCTACCAGTAATCAAACTTCCCTTAAAAGATACGATCCGGGCTCGGATTTTTTTTTTTTTGGAGGGGGGTCTGAATATGTGACTGGAGCGGCTTGTTGTAACAAACCAACAGACCTCTCAAAAGCAACAAGAGTTACACTCAAAACACTTACTCGGCGGGGTTCGGGACAGAGAAGGGGCTAATGGTAACGCATGCCCCGATTAGGCGAGGACCGGGTAAGGGTCCCTCAGGGTTAGAGGGACCCGGACTTTCGGAAAGGGGCGGGGCAGGGAGATCAGCCCGGCTCCTCAGAGGCCTCCAATGCGGTAGGGCTTCAGGTTCCCGGCTTTCGCTACACAGCCCCACCCTCCACCCTCCGCACCGCTACTACTCCCCCTTCCACCCCCC